TCAATAATCTTGAAAAAAGAGTTCATAGATGCACCTGTATTTGCAATTGGAGGTAACAGAAAATATAACTTCTGTTTAGGGACTAAACTTTTAGCTGATTGTATCCTGGCCTCTTTCACCAGTGGAGGCTGGAAACTTCTCCCTGTGGAGGCTGGAAATGCTATCCACATTCCCTCCAACTCCTCCTAATTCAGAATGCTGGCACAAGAACAGGCTAAGAAGATTTGGAGAGTTTTTTAGCCAAAACAGTATTGGTTTTCTGAGCTGCAAAAAGTGATGATCCACCAAATGCTGGTTCTTTTCACTGAGGATGTGATGTCACCATAGCATGGCTGAACTTTGTATCCCCATTTGCACTGTTTCCATTCCACAATTTATCCAGGAAGTTGCTAATTTCATTGAGGCAAAGTCAGCCTGTTCTTGAAGTGCATAAAATATCCTCCTTAGCTGGAAAGATTGGAACAGTGTACCTTGAAGATAAATAAATGCAATTTTCTCTCCAGGCCTGTTGTCATCTGCTGTTTCCATCTAGAAGGCAGATTCCAAACGTTTGAGGATACCTGCTGAAATGGTAGTGAGCCTTTGGAGAATTGAGGAATGCTCAACATTTTCACACCCCTGTTAAAAAGGTCAATAAAAGGCTTCAAGAGGACTTACTTACCTGCAAATTGTTTTCTTCTGAGCTTTTCTTGAATTCTGACTATGCTCCCGAGACCTTTTTTTTACTTGTTACCCTTCTGTTCTCTTTTTCAACTGTCCAGCAATTGTGATTTCTCCTAAGTAGTAACAGGGAAGAGTAGAGGGAAAATCACTAATGGTAGATCTCTTTCATCTTGGGTTCTTTTCACAAGAAGACATTTTATTAAGACTCATCCTGAATTCCTGTCCAACAAATTAACAGATTTCCACCTTAAGTGTTCAAGTAGTAACCACATCACTTATTTTTGCTGGAAGTGTGAAACGTGAGAGACCAGGAGCGAGTTTAATAAACTGGATATATGAGACACCATTTATTTATTTAACTGGATTATGCAGTTTAGTTCCTGTCCAATGTGGTTTATTGGAAAATAGGACCCATCACACCTTTTCAGGACTGGGAATCTTGATTTTGTCTTCCCTGTGTATCTAGAGTGGATGTTACCTGTCAGAATTCCAAGAAGCATTCCTGCTTCTTCACCAGGAGGACTTAGACCATCTGGGGAGAAAAATTCTGGTGGAAAATTCCAATTTGCATCATTTGTCAATTTGAATACATTCATATGTGTCATATCAAGCATCCAAGCCACAAGAGACTTGAGAAAAACATTTTATAGCCACTTGAGGGTACGCAGAGGAGTATATTGGGGGTTAATAATAACTGGGAAAAGAAGAAACAGTTCCTTACTTGTACATGAACTCTTAGCAATGTGATAGGCACAAAATCTCTCCATAGCTTGTTCCTGGATCTCACCTCTGTAGGTTCTGCTATAACTTACACATCCAGAGGAGATGTCCTTGGAATTTACAATTGGGACACGTTGTTGTTTTTTTTTCCTTCATTCCTCCTGTTTTTTCACCTGCAAAAAAAAAAAAAGATTTACCGTCCCCTCCTGGGTTTTGAATATCTCAACAACTTTCCATGGCTTTTCAACACTCCTCCCCAATACCTCATTACAGAGCTGGGGGTAAGATACTGTCTTTCATCTGCTTGTTCGTTCGCTTTACAGAAAGTGCCTCGAGTCATCCATAAGGATATCTCACTAGGATTCAACTATGGATTTTCCTCTTTGACCTTTTCACTGCCCTGGGGCATTCACCAAGTATTTTGTGGTCGTGGTAGCTCACCTGAAGACACAAGAAATACAAATCCACCCATAAAGATGTTTCCACAGGCACTGCTATCCGAGAGACCTCAACCGCCTGTATGGATACATGAGAAGCCAAAGTAGAATCCATGTGGACGACACATCTTGAACTATAATTACCATATGGTAAATAGTCATTCTTTATTGTATTGTCAACAGGCAGGGAACATGCTCTGATGTGGGGTTTAGGGTACTGCTGACACAGTTAATGGATGAATCCTGAGGGAATATTCTTTTTCCCACGTGACACTCAAGTCACTTTTCTTAATTGTAAAAACATCTGTGAGAAGAACCGAATGAGTTGTAGGCCTTGACAGCTGATCTTCCCATGACTCACTCCACAAAGACAAACTTGTCTTGTGCTTGTCCTTTATCTTCATCCGAAGCATTTGCCAAGAGGAGCATCTGAATTCTGCTTAAATTATAATACTCAATTTCAGATTTTCCATCTGAAGCCCTTGCTTCAGGAAAGAAGGGAAGCTTCATATTGTGGCAGCAATAAGGTTTTAAGAGTTATTTTGGATAGAACCAGGGTGTTTAGGAAGGCACTTCAGGGTTTTCTACCTTTGTGTGTAAGGTTAAAGAGGAAAAGAGCTTTTATTCGGTTTTGGTTTGGTATGAATTAGATTGTTATGAAGAGAGATAATTTTTACTTGGATGTTAATAATGACACTGAGGCCACGTGCAGATGTTAACACAAGTTCTTTACACCTCAACTACTTGTCTAACTCCCAAAATAAAGACTGAAGAGAACTATGGTGTTTCAGTCTCTTGCAAACATAGTTGCCTAAACCAACTCAGGCTATATGTTCCCTAAATTATCTATTTCATTTGTTTCCCTGGCAAGCTCAGAGGTGGATATCTCCTGTGGAGGTATCTGAAGTGACTTTAATAACCTTCCTCCAGATTTTGTTCCTCAGAGCCTTTTCACTTTCTTTGCTGGCAGGTAGTTCTGAATCTCTCCCAGCAGGTGTAAATTAAGCAAGGATGTCCTAATTTCAATTAGATTATCTTGTCAAAGTAAGGTTGATAGTTAATTATCTCAGAGTACAAATACCTTCACAGATATAAAATACTTGTAGTGCTTTTTAATTTATTGGAGAAATGCCACTGGAGAAATTTATTGGAGAAACCTGCTGGCTGGAAGCGAGATGCATTTGAACTGAAAATGGGACCTTTTTTAATGAGAGGGGTATTTAATAATTAAAGAACCCAAAGATTGTAGCAAAAGGCCTGATAGACTGTCCACCTTTTGAAGTCGTCGCACGAAGACTCGCCGCCTTTGTGGAAGGTTCGTGTCAGGCAGCAGCGAGCGACACTCGGTCAAACACGAATTATTGGGTTCAGCACAGGGGTAACCCAGTGAAAGTTAATGACCTGTGATATATAGGAAATCACACTGGATGATCTAATGGTTTCTTCTGGCCTCACACTCTATGAATCCATGAATATGTATCCTCTGAGGTTGCCTGCTGGTTGTGTTCCTAAACAGGGGAACAGGCAGAGGCCGCTGCGAGAGAAGGATTTATGTTTATTTACTGGCATCCCTTGTCCTTTGGCGACGTATTCAGATGGTTCACACCCAGATTTGTAAGGTCTGGGAGAGGATTTGGAGCATTTGGGAAAGCGTGGTCGCTGGTAGCCTCCACTGTGAGAGCTTGATGCTGTGAGAAGTGATTCACACAGTTCCCAAAAGGCGCTGCCTTCCAGCGCGTTACCACATCTTGGCAGCGTTTGAAGGGCACCCTGTGAGCATGAAAGGCAGGAGTGGTGACTCAGAGAGCCACAGCGAGGGGTAAGAAACCCTTTCTGGTGGGATATGAAAACACAAAAATACATACACTTGTGTTCAGGGCTATTTGAGGGCGGCGCAGCCTCGGTAATTGGGCTCATGTGTCTGTCTAGAAATGGCTGTTTCGGCCGCCTGTTTAGCAAAGAAAGGCTTTTCCCCACATTTATTTTCTGGAAGGACAGTGGGAATCTGGAGAACTCTTAGAATCCATGAGCCATCCTTGTGCCATGCTGTGGCTGCCCGTGTGTACTTACAACATCAGCTTCCTGTGGCTGGTTTTGTTTTGTTTTCCAGTTGGGAGGGAATATTATCTTTAAACAGACAAGAAAACGAAAACAACTGACTTAAAATCTCCTTCAAAATAATAATCGAGGAAGCAAGGATGTTCGCAGGAGGGAAGGAATAATGACTGATGAAGAGGAGAGCAACCCGAGGGGAAGAAGTGGCAACATCTGGGGAATGCTGGGGAGGGAAATCCTGTCTGTTTACGGGCTCTGTTTTTCCACACCTGTGGGTTAGAAATGCTGTCATCTGAGGAGCGGCCCCATATTACAAGAAGGTCAAGCACCAAGCAGACCTAATTAAAAGCTCATTACAAGAGACAATCTCCATTAGCATGCCAAGTTTCATGCAAATCCATTAGCACCAGGGCTCTCTTCGGAAGCTTTAAATTCCAGTCCTGTGCCCCAGGGACTGGAAACCGTGGCCGGTTAATTTGCCATTCTCAGTCTGTGAACATTAGGCACAGTCCTCTTACTTTCTGGATTATTTCACATTCCAGCAAATTAGTTTTATCCGTTCTGAGAACATTTTAACAAAGAAAGTTCTTTTGGCATCACATGGATAAAATAACAAGGGATAAAAGAATGAGCAGTTCCCCCAATCAGGAACAAATAACTTTAAATCTCTCCTGAAAATGCAGCCTTTCCTGTTATTCCCACCCCCCCTTCCTTTCATTTATCTTTCGGCAGTCGGATTTTTTAATTACGTCTCTGCAGCCAGATTCCCCTCCCTCCCTCTTTATGAGGGTGCTCTCAAGAGCCATGTTTTTTTTCTTTATGCCATTGTAGCAGAACTTGACTAAAGATCTTCAAACTTGTTAAGTATAAAAGTTGGTAAATGATACTATTGTTTGAGTTAAGGGTGGGGGGAGAAGGGGGAAGGCAGTTTATCTGTGGTGGCTGCGGGGAGGGGGAAGCTTTGGAGAAAAAAAAAAAGGGGGGGGGAAGAAAAAAGGCTCAAATGAACTGAAATGGATCAAAGTAAACAGAGACATCTAAAAGCTTTTGTAAGTTAAAAGTGGCTATCTGTTGCAAGTCCTGCCTCATTAACTACTGATAGAAGCACTGTCTTGGCCTTCCCAGATATCTAACGCTGACCGCCTCTAACGAGATGAACTCGGGGTTATTCCCTCTCGCCGTTCCCTGCACGACTGCTTAACCTCAACCTCTCCACGAATGTTTATCCTCGCCCTGGGATGGGAGATCCAGTCCCCAAACTTCAGCCCTCGCCCAAAGGGAGAAACAAGCTCGGAGAGCAGGAAGGAAGTGGGAGAAAGAGGGGAAGTGTCCCCGAAGTCAGCGTCTGGCCTGGGCTGCGCCGTTTCCACACACCTTTGTCAGGGAGGGAACAGGGAGGGATGGAGTTCAGCCTCTGGGTTACAGTATATCCCCCACGCCGTGCCCGTTCCGAGGGGGAAGCTGAAACCGAGAGGCTTGTCCAGGGAAGCAGGGAGAGCGAGGAGGGATGGGGAGGGGGGAACACGATGGCTCTTTGACTGGGACCAGATAGGTCTCTGTGTAGAGTAATATTACAGCTCACTCTCTCATAAACAAGCTGCATGCCGGCTTCTAAAGAGCCCATCTGGCATAGCTTTGAGAATGGCAATAATTACAAGCTGATGATGGACATGGAAGAAAAGCCCTGCTGAGCTAACTCATAAGGAAGTACAGGCCAGGACTGTAGGGAAATTACAGGCTAAAACTCTTTCTAGTTTAGGCCTTTTGGTGTTCTTAATCACAGACTTTAAATGTTGTAATAAACACTGTTGCATTTTATTGACCAACTCCCATGACAGGCAAATCTTTTTTATTTTATTTTATTTTTACTATTTGTTAGTTCAGAAAGCAGTTTGAGAACAATCGTTTCTTAAGACTGGGTCTGTAGATTTACTTCATGAAAAGTGATCCAAACAGCAAGAGTCCCTTTTGTTACTTCGCAATTAAAAAAAAAACGAGGAAAAAAAAGGGAAAAGAAATATTTTAGAGTTCCACTTACCCCTATGCAGGACTGGCTCACTGATAATGCTCGCTTTGTTTTGAGATTATCATTGAGGAATAAAAGATCTAAAATGAGTTGTTAAGTTTTTAGGTGAAACTCCTGCTGATTTCACTGGCTATAGGATTTCCCAGGAAATAAAGCAGTTTTAGGTATGAGAGGTATGGCCTGATCTTGTGCCCAATGAAGCTCATGACATACTTGCTGACTCCAGTGGTCTAACCCAGTGTCACTGGAAGCTTAGAGGCCTCATCTATGTCTGGATTTAAATCCAGTCTTACTGTTGTGACCCAGAACCATGTTTCTGAATAAAAGGGGAAATTCCAGGCTGCTGGGGCTCTGTTCCAGTGTCCCTTAGAGATACCAAACATTTTCACAGTGGAACATGAGAAATGTGAAACCCAACAACGTTGATGCCCAGTTTAGGGCAGCTGCCAGGGCTGTGGTTGCCAGAGGAAGGTCTCTCTAGCACCAGGTATCCCATGTCTGGAGTTAAAAATCACTAAATCTTGAGAGTGTTATCACCTCTCTCTCTCTCAAAATGTCTGTGTTTTGGTTATGTGAATATATTTATGGTGTGGTTTTTTATGCACATGCATGTGGCAGTGCCATCTCTGTGGACTGTAAATGGATGTGGACTATCCTTGTGGACTATTTCTATGGATATAGGAGTGGAGAGCAAGGGACTTGTGACAGTTAACACCAGCTAAAGTTCTGCTTCAGAGAGCCTACCTGTTTTCCCAGACTAATTTCCCTCTCCTTTCCCTTCTTCAGAGTCTAGAAGATCAAGAGTTAAACAGTTCTGTGAGTTTTATTTGACTTGAGTGCAATAAATCTCCCAGGGTGACTGATAGACTGATAACTCTCAAAATCCATTCAGTACTTTGTGTGTCAAAGCAGCAGCGAATGTGGAAGTGTTGTCAGTTGTTTTAAATAACACTGTTTTGACAGTATGTTGTTTATTACAATTCAACACGTGTGATTTGTTTTCTTGGAGGAAATCTGCCTTTATTTTACGTTGGGTTTTATTTTAGTTTAGGAACATCGGCCACATATTAGAAATGCTGCATAACACGGTGGGTTGGCTTTACTGATCCAGTTAAATCTTGGAAAAGTATCTGTGTTTTTACAGGATGCATTCTCCTATGAGATTCCAAATAGCAGAACATTCTGTTCCTTTAGATAAACGTTTGCCTGCAGGTATAGCTTTGTGTTTGTAAATTGTTTCATGTTGCTCCTATTTCTGCTGCAGTTCTTTCACAGACCTTTCAAAGTTTCTGGTTTACTTGTGGCTGTTTGTATCCCAGCATTTCATAACACAGATGCTTATTCAGTTTTCCCAATTACCATTTGACTATTTGTTCAGGCATCAGATTTTTTTTTTCCCCTTTTTTTGTTGCAAAGTTGAAGGAATGTGAGGTCAGGGAATGGAAATTTACCTATCCGAAGGCAGCTCCCTTTTCTTTCATAAACTTCCCCTGGCTTCTTAATCTGAAACTTGCTTGTCAATGTGAAATGATTTCTTTATATTTAACTGTCTCTTTCCAATACAGACTGGAATTGTTCCTAACAAAAGGAGCATGAATTGGTGGAAACTATATATTAAATGCAGGACTATTTGTCTAGTTTTCATTAGGTCGCTGAGTGAGAAGCCCAAACTCCTCTCTTTTCCCAAGGTACTCGGATATCCACCAAGTGCCTTCATCCCATAGCCTTGTTTCCTCTCCCAGTAAACCAGCTTCCCAAAAGAATGCTACACTCTCTGCTCTTTATACTGTCAGCAGTGACAGCAACCAGCCACGCTGACATTTCTTATTGTTTACAAAGGATGAGCGCCAACAAGGCATCTCTGATCAGTTGATAAACTCTCCTAACCCTCTCCCCCCGCCCAACCCTCTGCTCCACTGACCAAACTAACCTTTTCACGGTACACTGCCTGTAATTACCAGTGAAAGACGCTAACCAGAGAGGATCAGGGCTTCAGCTAAACACAAACAAACCAGCAAAACAGCTCTGAAGATAAACTACTCACAGCTCCACGTCGCTCTGCAGACAGGGCAGGCCAGGAGAAACGGAGCAGCTGCAGGCAGGGAGGGGAGAGAGGAGAAATCTAACCCTAAATTCCTCATGTGCATGTATTTTTTCATATGAATTTTAAAATTGCTTGAAAAACCACGCTAGAATAGCATTAAAATAACCTTATTGTTTATTATCATAATGCTGTATATTTAATATCCTTTTCCCCCTTCAATTCCCCCCACTCCTGCAGAAACTCCCGCCAACACAGTGGTCAAACTGAGTTCACAGCTCCTCATAATGAGCCCAGGGATAATGCCTATACCAAAAAGTTATTTTTCAGTAATGACATGAATTTGACTTTTACCCACCCCCTCCTCAGCCCCTGGTGTGACAAGCAGATTCTTCCCGTTCTGTTTTCCTGGAGGTGAGAAGCACCAGCACATGGAATCTCTCTTCACTCATCCCTCTCCAAGAGCCAGTTGGTGAGGAAGGTAGTATTGGGGGCCTTTGTTTGCCAGGAATGTTGATTTGGTGGATGATTATATAAAAATAGTTTAAATTACATCTTTAAAAAATTTCTTCTGCTGTTACAGATTCTCCCTGAAATAGCTGGATAATGGGCTTGCTCCTGAGCAGAACTTTTGCCACTGATTTTTCCAGTGCTAAAGTCAGACACAGCTTTCAGAAGGGTGTGATTTTCTTCCCAGAGGCTCAGCTGAGATGGTTCATTCTTCTTTTCCATGGTGGGAAGACTGTTACACGGAAAACAACAAGATCAAGTTTAGATTTCCAGCAGAAATACAAATCTTTAAACTGAAGTTTTATTTTAGGCAAAACAGCAGCAGAAGTTCTTCTGGCTCTGCAAAATTCCTTCCTGTTCTTGCAGAAGCCCTTTTCTGCAGGGAACCCACTTATGCCATGTTATCCCAGCATGGAATCAGCCATAAAATAATTTTCATTTACTTGTGTTAGTTCTGCAGATGCCATTGATTAAAACCTCCTAAGGAATAACCACAAGAGTAGCACTGCCACTCCTACAGCCTTTGGACAGGCTTTATCATCAGCTGGATACTGAACATCTGAGGGACCTCTCTTCATCTTTCTTTATTTCATCAAATTGTGGTACTGTTGTGATGGATGAAGTAGTTTGCACCTTAGCCCTAAACCCCTGATCCTTGCCTGGAAGCTGTAGCTGCAACTTCAGCAGGAGGAATAACCTGTTGCTACGTTGAAAGTGGCTGAGATCTACCCTTGTCTGGCTTTGCAGGGTCTCCAGAAAGGCTGCTCATGTCAACAGAATTGGTCAGGGTAGTACAGGGTGGTTTTCCCTTTCATTTATTTCAATGTCTATTTTTATGGTTCTCTCTTGAGTTTTATCTGTTCCAAGGAGATTTTACAACATTGTCAGACTAGTAAGATACGAAAAGCTGAGCCTATGAAAGCAGACTTGAAAGCCTTAATTTAAGGAGCATGAAAACCTCCTTTAGAACTATGTTTCATTTAGCCTTGTTGGCTTTCCTGCCTTCTCTCTTGATCAGTCTGACTTTTTTGATCTGCACAAAAGTGGCAATTCGTGCGCTTAGGACACATGAAATGGAAAGGTCTGAGATGATGTGAATTTTCCCAGAAGAACTGGACGTGTCCCCGTGCATGTGATGTGCAGGAATGCCTTTTGTTTCCTCCCAGCATTCCTGGTCACAGGGGGTATATTCCAGGGAATTAGTTTGGCAAGAACAAAGCCAAGTATTGCACAGACAAATGCAGTTTAATGTATTGACAAACAGGAATAGAATTTAAAATTGCAGACATGAGATGAAGACATGGCTTAAGTATGCTGAAAAAACCCTCACAAGTAAAAGATGTATTTGAAATTTTTAGGCTAAACTATTTATGAGAAAAAAAATGAAAAAGCTGATCAAAATACCAGGGCTATTTACCTTTTTAAACATCCACAGATAGGAAATGCCTTGTGCCAGTCTTTCTTTTGCCCAAAGTAGTCACTGACCAGTGAATGTGGATGCTAAATGCAAAGCTGAATTTTTTTTTTAAAAAACAATTTAATGCATTTGGTGGGGGGAGGCTGTAAATTAGCCTTATCAGAAAAAGACTTAACTGCTGAAAAACTGCTTCCTCCCCATAAATGTAGGGAGGATTCATAGATCACAGGGCTAGAAGGGACAATCAGGGGCCATGCTGTTTCTAAGATGTTGGCCAATATTGGGTATTTCTGAAGTTAGAGACAGGAAAACGTGCAGCTTGAGCCAGGGTGGGTGTTGGACAGAGATGGAACGTGTAACACGTGCTCGTCCCCGAGTTACACAGGCCCTGCAAACCACTTGGGTTTCTTTTTCCTGCTGCTAATGTAATTAGAGTTCCTGTATTTCCCACTAC